GCAGCAGGCGCACCATGGCGGCAGCAGCAGCAGCGGCTGCTGCAGCAGGCGCACCAGGGCGGCAGCAGCAGCAGCGGCAGCAGCAGCAGCCACAGCAACAAGGACAAAAACAACAGCAGCAGTAGCGGCAGCACCGCCACGGCCAAGATCAACCATCAGAAGCAGGGACAAGCGCAGCAACAGCTAGAGTACCAAGAGAAGCAAGAATGGTAGAACCACCAGCACCAAGAGAAACGACAACCACACCCAGCGGTTGTTGCCTTGGACCTTCCCGGCCCGCAGGGTAACAATATCAGAAACGCAGGGTGTCCAAGCGACAGCCGGCGTCAACAAGGGCACCCAGGGCCTTCGCGGCCTGGGAGGAAGCGTCGAGCAGCAGAGGTGCAACGGCGGCAGCCCCTAAACCGTAAACCCTAAACCCTAAACCCTAAACCCTATAAACCCTAAGCCCTAAATCCTAAACCCTAAACCTAAGCCAGACAAAGAAGCTGCTCCAAGCAGGAGAAGAGGGCCGAGGCAAGAGCAGGTGCAGCATAGTTGAAAAAACAAGGCCAAACGGAACCTGAAGCAACACCTGAGGGTTTAGGGTTTAGGGTTTATAGGGTTTTGGGTTTATAGGGTTTAGGGTTTAGGGTTTATAGGGTTTAGGGTTTAGGGTTTAGGGTCCTCAGGAAGGGATATTGTTGACGAGGAGCTGGAATCAAGCCAGGTAGAGCATTAATATCATAACCGAGGTGACGATGGTGTTCATGCTGCCAAAGAAGATGATATGCAATACCCCTTCAACCGCGAGCAACAACATGCCACTGTGCGCAAAAACACAAGACATAGACATAAACGAATGTTTCTTACTGTGAGAACCTGGGCAATACTTGTAATGGCTCACTGTTTTGAAAGTCTCCGGTGCAAAGAGGCCGGGAGAGTAGAATCCCGCAAGCTCCTTGTGGAGTATTACCCTAGGGCTCCATTTACCTAAATAGTAGGTTACTGGGGTACATATTATATGGTTAGTAACCCACTATTTAGGTAACTGGAGCCCTAGGGTTATGCATTTTGAGCAGACCGCCCAAAGAGAGCCGTTCACAAAGCTTGAGAGGCTGGCGGTAAGGATTGGAACGAGCCAGGCGCCGGCGCTACAGCCAAGTGGGCGTCCGATGGAGCACGATGTAGAAATAACATTGTGGAGTTCGACGCTTTTCTGAGCCCCTAAAACCCGAAACCCTAAACCCTAAATCCTTAACTTTGTGCTGACAATTGAAGCCGGAATAATTAGCAGAATTAGCCTCCTAAGGCTCCTTCTTGCAAGTATAGCATAAGATACCGCAAGACCCTGTTTCAATTTATCAAGGCCCCTGTATCAAAGAACGCTTACAGGAACCCTTGCAGTAAATCTTGCGGTACCCCTGATTGGGTTGAGGGTGGAAGATTTGGCGGACAACTAAGCGAGTTTTTCATGTGGACGCTTGCGGAAATCCAGAATGTGGGTTCTAGGGCTGTTGATATTGAGGCCTGAGATGCGGTCCAGTAGTCGTAGTCGAAGGAAGCAGGCGCAGCAGAAGAAGCAACAATATTATATATATATATATGTATGTATGTATGTATGTATGTATGTATGTATGTATGTATGTATGTATCTTTGTTTGTATGTATGTATGTATAATAGGACTAGCAGCAGCACCAGCCCCTGTTTGAACTTCATGCCGGCCTTGATTCCGTGTCAAAGCAATCCATTGTTAAAAGGAGACCTGAGGCCATGGGGGAACCATTCTGGGATCCCCCCGCTGTGTGCTCTGGTCACGCTGCGGAGCCGAATCCTGATCCCTGAAATCATAAGCCCCCTACAGCCGCCGTACTTTTCAACCAGTAGTACCCTTTTTGCCCCTTTTATCGTGGGGGTCTTGTTGTTTGACAAGGGCGGAAAGCCCTGAACCCTGAACCCTTAGTCCCCAAACCCTAAACCCTAGTGCTCTCGGCTTGAGGGTGTGCCTGTAGCCTTTGGTTTAGGGATTTTTGGTTCACGCCGCCTGAATGTTTGGCTCAAAGCTGTTGCATTTTTGAAATGGTAGCTGTGTAGGTTGATGATTTTGAGGCTCCTTGCTTGCAAATGGAGGTTGCGAGGGTCAGCTCCACGGGGCGATACGTGGTTTTAGTACTTACTCATAGGCCCCCTAAGTAGTTCCTTTTTGGGATTACCTTATAGGATTCTAAATATAGACCATAAAAAGGAACTACTTAGGGGCCTATGGCTAAGCTTAGAGTCGGGACGTTGCGGGCTGGAAACACTCCAGCGTGCGTTGCTCAGGACTTTTGTTGAAGCTCAATCTTGGCTAGGGGCTTCGGTTGAGATCCATACATGCAGGAGTAAGAGCTGCGCCCCATTTCGAACATAGCTTGTTACGAAGTCGTTTGGAAGTATGTCGTAGTCGACTCTGTCTGTGGTTCTAACACACCTTCAAAGGCTATCCAAGCCTATGCGAGACGTCCTGTGTGTGTGTGTGTCGACTTGTCTCGTGAATATACACCCTCACGCTTGGAACACACCATTCGACAGATCCAAGTACAATTTTCTATACCGATGGGCTGTACGATCCGGCATCTTCAGCCCGAAACTTATCACCCCTCCCGAAGCAATCCGCATGCTGCAAAGATAAGCACATCAGCTAAAATCCCAAACTTTACGAGGGCCCACCAAAAGCCCTAAAACAAAAACCCCTAAGCCACAAGCCTTAAATCTTAACTTGAGAGCCTGTGGGAGCTCCCCCCAAGCAGAAGCCCCTTTATGCTTAGACGACTAAGATTCCTACGACACCCGAGGCCGGAGGAGCAATGGATGGTGACGCTCTCAGTTCGGGAGCAAGTTTGAGAGTTCGGTTAAAGGGTTATACATTGCAGGTGCAGGATTTAGAAGTGGGCCTTGTTTGGGTTTTAGGTTTGGGGGCTTCAAAGTATGGGATTCAGTAGAGCTTTCCTGTTTATGGCATTCCTGGTCCAGAAGTTGAATTTTTTCTCATGTCGGTTGAAGCATAGGAAGCATCTCCTGGCTGATAAGCCCGGAAACCCCAGAACTCTGCTGCTGAGGCCTTATTGATGCTTCCTCCGCTCCAACCCAAAAGCCGCCCCAAACCCCAAACGTTAAAAATCTAAACCTCAAAGCCCGAAATCGTGAACCCGAAATCCCAAACCCTGAGCCCAAAACACCTGAGCCGTAATCTGAATTGCAGGCAGCCTACTGGGGCCCCCCGGCGGAGGCTACCAGTCGCTGCTGTCCACGAACTACAGCGTGCCCTCAACGAAGTGCCTCAGACGATGTTTGGGGGTTTAAGGTTTTGCAGCTTAGGGTATAGGCCTGGGTTCAGGTTGTTGGGATGCCCCCTAAACCCTAAACCCTGCACACTAAACCCCAAAAGCTTCAACTCGTAAGCCCCCAAACCCAAGGCCCTACAACCGAAACCCCGGAAGCCTAAACCCAAAACCCCAAACCACTAAACCACCAAACCCTATACCCAAAACCCCAAGCCCCTCAACCACCAAACCCTAGACCCAAAACCCCAAGCCCCTAAACCCCGAAACCCTATATAGATCTGGTTTAGGGTTCGGGGCTTTTGGATTTCCAGGGATCTAGGTCTTGTGGTGTTCAGGGCCAGAGCGAAAGACCTTAACCCGGCAAGAGCTCATTTTGTTTCGGTATCTGTCTGACCTTATCACAACACCTACTGTTTGGAGCTCCCTTCCGATGCTTTCCTTGCAACAATCCCGACATCCTAGCGGATTGACCCAATGAAACCCGAGACCCTAAACCCTACACCCCTAAGCCCCTAAACCCCTAAACCCTAAGCCCGAAACCCTAAACCCGAAACTCTAGTGCTTCTCTGGTTCTGACCGCGCGGCGACCCAGAACCCTCACTTTTCTTCGTTGGGTTTTGGTGCTTCGGAGCCAAGGTACGAGGTCCCCACGACTTGGGGATACTCTGTACCCGGTACGGCCTATGAGACTGCAGGGACCATGCAGGGGACCTATTCCCCGCCGGATACGAGCTCCCTAACTGAACATGGTCACGGCTTAGGGTTTAGGGTTGATGAGGAGTTTTGCGGCATCAGATAATCCCTCAACGTTGCAGCTCTAGATTTTATGTTTTTATCCATCAGAAGAAGTTGAGGGCTGAAGGTTCGGATAGCTGTGCGCTTCTCTGGGGTTTAAGGCTCTATGGCTTTCGGTTGTTGGTGCTTTCGACTTTCGGGCTTTCGCTGTTCTCAGAAGGTTGCAGATGATGGCACATGGGCGGCAGTTACGTCTGACGCATTTCATCTTTCTTTTCGAGGCTCTAGATGCCCGAAGGAACCCCCAAACCCTAAACGCCTGAAGCTTAAGCTGGACCCAGGAGCAAAATCCTGTCCCCAAGCCCTACGTCAGCCCCTTAGCCCCCAACCTGATACCTCAACCCTGAAGCTACAGCCCCGAAGGAAGATATTGCAGGAAATGCCGGGCAGGTAGGTAGGCTACTAGGGTTTAGGCTTTCGGGTTAGGACATATTAGGTCCTTGCATGCCTTAAAGCCCCATTGCCCTTGAGAGGAGCACGTTCCAAAACCCTAAACCCCTAACCCCACCCGCCTAAACCCTAAACCCCTAAAAACCCTAAATCCCTCAACCCCTAAACCCTCAACCCGTAAACCCCTAAACCCTCAACCCCTAGACCCCTAAACCCCTAAACCCTAAACCCCTAAAAGCCCCTAAGCCAGAAACCCCTAAACCCCTCAACCCCTAAACCCTAAACCCCTAAACCCTAAACTGTGGATCAGCTTGCTTTTCAAGCGCCCTGTGAAGGCCCCAGCTTCCCTAAACCTTACCTGGACCCCAAAGCAGCTACCATTTTTAGGGTCCCTTATTTGTGGTTTCTCTCTATTTTGGTCCTTAAGAAGGATAGGTCTTTTAGGGTTCCTTATTTATGGTTTCTCTCTATTTTTGTCCTGAAAAAGGGTAGGTCCTTTAGGGTTCCGTATTTATGGTTTCTCTACATAAGTCCGTAAAAAATGTACGTCTTTTGGGGCCCACAGGTAAAAACTCAATCCTAAGCTCGCTGAATTCTATAAAACCCCAAACCCGATAAACCCCAAAACTCCCTAAACCCTAAACCTGAGTTACCGCCCCAGGCCTGAAGGGGTTAGGATTGGGATTGGGGTTTAGTGTTATTGGAGGGGTTCAGGGTTTAGGGTTATTGGAGGGCTTACTCTTTCGATACTGCGCCATCGTAGAAACTGAAGTAAGGGCTCACGAAGGCTTCTATAGCTTATGACTATGAGTCAGGGTTTGCTACCCTGTTTTGCACTGAGCTCTGCCGAAGGCGATGTAGAGAGTCGACGTTTAGCGTTCCTAAATCCCTTGGCCTGAACTCCTCCAAATCAGGGTTCAGGTTCTCCAGCAATGGAAGCTTGAGGACTGCCTGATACCATAATTACTCCTTTGCAGTTTTAATTCGGGCTGTCTATACCATAGTCTACCCCCTGGTGAAACTCTGGCCTCTGCAGTAAGCCCTGATTGCAGGAACACCGCGCTTACAATCCAACCCTTGCTGAACCCTCTACGCCCGACATGAGTGTCATAGGTAAGGGATGCGAAGCCCGGATCCGGAACCCGAAAAACGCGAAGCCCGGAAGCCTCAACCGTCTCATAGCCTTCGAACGGATCAGCCGACCGCAACGGAAGATCGTGAATCATACTTCATACCCTAAGGCTCCATGTGTCTAGAAAGTATATATGCTGAAGCTTGAACGTACCTCTGTAGGAACCTCTTTAAGTCAAAGGTTAGAAGTATGGGCCCTTTAGGCCTTTCTAGGGACCCTTAAAGGTACAAAAAGGGTATAGAGCAGGTATATAAGGATCCCAGGGTTAAGGGCCCCATACTAGGGGCCCATGGGGTCTGTGTATGCTGCACATGGAGCCTGGGGGTGAAGCTCAGGTGGGCCCGTCTACGCGGCTCCTGCTTCCCCGGAGAGGGACCTTCTGAGCGTCTCGGGAGAATTTGACGGTTTAGGGTTTAAGGTTTAGGGTTTAGGGTGTAGGGTTTTGGTGTACCAGAACTCCAAAGAACCTATTTTTGTAGGGCCCCGTGATATGACTTCCTTCTCAAAGACCCTCAACCTTAAACCCCTAAACCCCAAAACCCTGTACAATTCCTGAGGAGGGCTGTTTCGTTAGGGTCCAGGAAGGGTTCCTAGTTGAGAGTTTAGGGTGGTCGAGAGGGTTTGGTTTAGGGTTTAGGGGTTAGGGTTTAGGGGTGTACTTGCGCCCATGTACCAAGCACTCACTGCACGTCGTGGCTCAGAAGAAAACTCACACCGCCCAGCCCTGCACTGTTCGAAGCCTGCACAATAGCTTGGATCAATCTTCATGTCTGCCTCAAGACAAGACCCAAGATAGGGGTCCGGTCCGGAAAGCGCAGAAGCAAAACTTCGGATAGGGATCTCATATAAACCCTTTGTAATGAAGCCAATAAGGTAGCATGACATCCCTGCCCCTACAGACGCCCCTGTTTTCTGGACTAAAGGGTTGTGGCGGGACGGGTTTCAGGTGTATAGTGCTTGAGGTATTCAGGCCCTTTAGGAGTTCAAGGTTCCTGGCTCAACGGCTTAAGGGGTTTTGGGTCGAGGGCTTGAGGGTATTGTCTTCTGCTTGGGCTGAAAGGAGCTACCTTGGAGAGTATAGGTAGCCTTGGGCGTGATGGTTCTACACGGTAGTATTTCGGCGTTGTGAATGGCTGTGGGGACCATGCAAGTAGCAACATGGGAGTTTCATGGGGGACCCTTTTGCATAGTCGGATCCTTATTGTAAGAGCCGCTATGTCAGGTATCCCTACCCTTCAAGTTGCCTCTAACTGAGCTTTGGTGCTTGATGGAGGGTCATCTTCCTTTCTGTATGCCCAAGCACCACCTGTGGTTCCAATTTCTAACCACGATCCTGTCGGGTAACTAAGGGGTGCTGTTCTGAAGAGCTTCTTTATCATACCCTAGCACTAAGGGCTACTATTTTTCGGGGTTGGGGCTGCAGGTAACCCCTGAACCCTAAACACTCAACCCTCCCCGTTTGGCTGCCAAGGTTCGGCAGCCGCCACCACTCTGCTTGGAGCCACGCAACTCACTTACGGCACCTGTTCCGGACAATGTGGGATTCGGGGCTTCCGGGCTCCGATGCTCTATCAGGGTTTTCTGGCGTGGATTTTTAGGGTTTTAGGGTTTAGGGGTTTTAGGGTTTTAGGGTTTTAAGGTTTTAGGGTTTAGGGTTTTCTGGCGTGGAATTTCTTGCAAAGGTGCATTCTGGTTGGTCTGGTGTTGTCGTAGCTGCCTAGACCTGAACCGTGGACGCTACATGTTCTACATACGGTGTAGTCTACTGTAGGTTGGGATTCTAGCTCTTTTTGCTCTAAACCCCTAAACCTTCTAGACCCCCTAAACCCCTAAACTCAAAACCCTAAACCCTCAACCCTAAACCCTCAACCCTCAACCCTAAACCCTAAACCCTAAACCCCAACCCCTCTTCGGGGTTCCTGCCCCAGGGTTGCAGGGCGCAGCCTAAGACGCCTGAAGGCCTAAACTCGATTTAGGGTTTCCTTTTTAAGGGTTTAGGGTTTAGGGTTTTAGGGTTTAGGGTTTTAGGGTTTTAGAGTTTTAAGGCTTTAGGGTTTAGGGTTTAGGGTTTGCTGTTTACGGTAAGTTGAGGGTTTGATGTTAACTGGGTAGGGTTTGGGGTTTAGGATGGTTTAGGATAAACCCCCCCCCATGTCCTACAGCTACGAGGCTACATGTCAATACTATTAGGGTCGGAGCATAGAACAAAAATAGTTTGGAGAACTTTAAACTAACTATAAGTACGTAGACCTGACATTAGAGGTTTTCGTTGGAGGTTGACAGTGCAACATCCTTTTAATAGCATAACCCCAACAAGAGCTCTGAATCACACCTTTGGGATTGTCCCAGGAAGGCCCGAAAGCAGGCCTCACCCATTCTCACACCAGCTGTCGCAAATGGAATCAGCAACAGCTCTTAGCCCTGAACCGTAAGCCCCAAGCCCTAAACCCGTAAACCCCTATAAACCCATAACCCCGAACGCAAAAAAGGCGCCTGAAGAATGACAAGTCCATAGACTCCAGTTCCTGTTTTGCTTAGCCAATGTTATGTTTAGGATCCTATAAGGTAGGCCCCAAGAGAACTACAGTGGAGAATTATATCCCTAGTACACGCTTATCCTGATTATCCATTTTCATGGGGGAGCCGTTGCAAACACAGCCACCTGAAACTCTCGTCCACTCAGTCCAAAACTTATGCAAGAAAACACAGAACCTGCTGGTGCAAGAGGGGGAACATTTAGATTAGAATATTCATTTGGCTTTTGGCACCCTCTCCGCAATCGAGAATGTGCGTGTTCAGAGCCCCTTTCCTTTACATCCGATCCGCAATAAAGGGGGCTCTTATACAGGTATGTCCCAAACGCTGTAAGGCATCAGCAGCAATGTAGACGGCTTACATACAGGAAGCCCCCAGACCGTAAACCCTATTTAGCAATCCAGTCACTAAGCCCCACCACCCCGAAAGTCGTCCCCGGAGCCCTGAAGCCCTCAAGACTTATGACGTATCCCAAAAACATGAAAAACCCACCCACAAAAACCGATCTAAATCACCAAAACCTCAAACCCAAAAGCCGTGGACCGCCAACAGCTCTAGCATGAAACGCCCTAGATGTCTGTCTATATGACCCCTACATGACCTCAAATACTCCGAGGGCCGGTCCCCACAGCCCCTGGAACACCAACGGCGTCTGCGCTGGGCACCGTCTACGGCACGCCCACGAAACCCCTAAGCTCCCTGGGCCATCGAAGAAGCTTTAGGGGTTTAGGGTTTATGAGGGTGTAGGGGATTCATAGTGCTGATGATATACATCCTGCATTACCCATAATAAGGAACTATACCATAATTCCCATAGTTTAGGGTCCTTACAAGGTAATGCAGGGTTTAGATCA